ATCAAACTGTCTTTGCACCATATGATTTAACATAGTCAACTTGTTTTTATATGAGTGGACCTCTTTTTTTAATGAATATAGTAGTTTGGCAACAGGGCCATAGCTTTGTGTAACTCAGAGAGGTGCTCATTCATCCTTGTAACACACACTTAAAAAAAAACAGCTCATAATAACTGCATTTCAAATAAAAATATGTTTTGTCAATACCTCTAATGTCGACTTGCACAATATATATCTACAACGAGTCCTTCCTATGACTCGTGGACTTCTTTCCTTTAAACATTTCTTACAACAAATCCTAGAATACAAATTTTGATTGAAAGTTTAAACAAATTTGAAAACATGCAAACATTCAAAGAACTAAAAACCCAACTAAATCATGCAAAGAAATTATATTGATGCAAGGAAAAATTATAGTTTAGAAATTGTAATTGTCAATAGAAAAAATTTGGTAGGAGAAGTGGATATCCTTGTGGAAGAGGCAAAGTTGGCTAGGAGGAAGGGGCCAATGTGGGGGCACTGGAGATAGTCAGCAGTAATGACAGGGCAGGAGAATGTCGATAGGTGCATGAATAGAGTAGACAAAACTCTTGTTCTATTGACTTGCATAGATTAGGATGTTAGGATAAGTAAGGTTTGTTAGGAATAATAATATTTAAATATTATTTATATAAGAAAAAAATCTAAAATTAGGAGGTCCACAGCTCAAGTTACCTGATGTTCAGAAGGCATGTGTCTCAATGCATTTTGAGCCCAAACTACGTTAAGGTGCACTTCGCATTGTGCAATTTAAATAGTGAAAGTGCCTAAAGAATTTTACATAACTACTCCGTATCATATTAGTTTCTTTCAAGTTTTAAGAAAGTGAAATCAATACTTAAAGCATTTTTCCGTAGTGCGATGAGACATAAAGCTTGGAGGCAGACTGATCATAAGCCTCAAAATGAAAAAAAATGAAAAAACTCATCAAAATCAACATGTTTATTTTGTTCGTCTTCATAAACAATAAAATCACATAATAAGGAAAGCAAATCTCTATATTAATGTTAATAAATCAATCCATGTTAAATTACTATGCAAACCTCAAAACATACTAATAGATTGTTGTATTAAGGGGGACTAAAAGTCATGATAGCCTATTCCTATAATGTTGAATTTTCTCAACCTCGATATAGAAAAGTCATTGGATAATGATACCTAAAATAACCCAAGAAATAAGTCTTCAGCTAAGATAAATAGAAAATTGGATTTATATAAAAAATTTGAGATAAGATATGTGGGAAACCCTTCACTGAGCCGTTGCTAAGAAGTTATTAACAAAACCAAACATAAGCCAATCCCAATAAACAAAATAATCACATGAAAAAGGAACCATGAGTCAAACTCAGTACAGACAAAACAAACTCTTAATATAAGAAAACAACAAGATATATAAAACCTATTATAGGTATATTTATAAATATATGAAACAGCTAAATACAAACTTCATTTATTTTTGTATCTTAATTATGATCCAACAAACTCATATGGCTTGATTAAAATTCAAAATTCAAAAGCATAAGACCAAATGAATATTAGGAAAAAATATAACATAAGTTTTGCATCAATCCACCAAAAAATCATATTTTTTACCAAATCTACCATCAAATAAATTGGTATAATGAAAGGTTAGGTTATGTGAATTAAATAACAAGTGAAGTTTATCCAGTCAAGTATAGACTTCAGTAAGATATAAGGAATGAAATTAACACTAAAACAAACCAGGCCATCATTCACTATCGAATTTTATCCATTCTTACCAAAATCTAAAATTTTCGTACCTTTTTTAAGAAGTTAGATGGCCATGAATCACCAGGAAATAGGATTGTTAGCTACAAAGACTGTTAAATAGGACAAACAAAAAGGTGCGTGCACAATACTAGATCATGGGAGGGATGGTTTAAGATTTTTTTGCATACCATTTATATCATCCTATGAGATGGATTATAATGCATTGCAAATTTTAAGTTTTATATGAATCCCCTGTCCTCCAAAGACAGAAAGCTTTTTCCTATTATCTCACCCCCACAATAAATCCTAGATCTGCCACTATATGAAAGTAAAAGCACACATAAGAAGTAATACATGGATGAAAGAGAGATAGTCACGCAAGCATGTGTTTCATTAACCATATACCAAAAAAGCAAGATTAGAAAGATAAATTAAGTATTTTATCTTATTAAAAAAACCCTATTCATGTTCTAAAGTAATAATAAAGGTGCATGGTAACATCGAAAATAGCAGCAAAGTGGAATAATTTAATTCTATGGATATTAAGTTCATGTTCTAAAGCAAATGAAGAGAAATGCAATGAAAACTCTAATTCATATACTGGAACTTAATCCTTCCCTCAAAGATGGAAAACTCATGTTATAAATTTTTAAATAACTATGAAAAAACTTATCACTAATTCATGACTTGAGAAGTTTATCATGTTAACCCCAGCCTTGCTTGGGGTTTAGCCATGAATTAAGCCAACATAGCTCCTAACCAATCCAAGTAGGTTTTGAAGATTTTCTTTTAAGTCCATCTTAGAGCCTTTGAGCTTGTATTCCGATTTCCTCTTGTGACCCAACATCATCCTTCAACAAACATCATTGCAAACAAACATGCTTGATGCCACCACTAAATAAAACCACTTAAAAAAAAAAAAAAAATCCATTCATCATCATTGCTCATGAACTTGTTTGTAATTATCATGACACTCAATTATACAATCATTTTTGTCACACTTCATTGACATAAGCTAACCTCAATCCTCACCTTTGACTCTATTGATGACTTTGCACAGTAAGATGCTCACCGCTATCATCAGTACTAGCATTTACAATTAGTTGTCTCAACTCATTTTTCAAGCTTCTTATCTACGTGCACCATCATTGTCTCAATCACCATCATCCCTTGCATTATGGTTATCATCATCATCATTACCCCCTCCATTATCGCTAATAATTCCCAACCCTTGTTGCTTGTCCATCATCATTGCAGAAAGAGATTAAAAATGATTTTGAGATGGGTTTCATTAACTGATTAATAATTTTATTTCAAACACTGTCATTGCCAGGTCCCAAGTCCTGGATGAGAAAAGTGGAGGGTTGCGTTAGATAGTCGACAGCCAGCGTAAAACTTGTCGAACAATAATGACATGAATCCTTTAAGAAATTGTGTTAATGCTAGGGCGTCCCCTTGAAGTGACGCGCTGTATGGCCTGAATACAGTGAAGTGTGCAAGGGCCGATGCACCGGCGCCCGGGTGCAGTGTTAAATAGGCAAGGGTTCCCACATCAAGGATGGATGTGGGCAAAGAAGCTAGTCCATGAAACTAAAATTAGGATAGGAACTTGGAATATAGGTTCCCTTACAGGAAAATTAATGGAATTAATAGATATTATGATTCGTATGAAGTTAAATATTTTGTGCATTCAGGAAACTAAGTGGGTTGGAGAGAAGGCTAAGGAAATTGATAGTTTAGTATTTAAACTTTGGTATTCGGGTAGGAGTCGTACTAGAAATGGTGTAGGTGTTATTATAGATAAGAGTTTAAAGGATAATGTTATAAAAATTAATAGAATTGGAGATAGAATTATAGCTTTAAAGATTGTTGTTGATGATAAGATTGTTAATATTATAAGTACTTATGCTCCTCAAGTAGGTTTGAGTATAAGTTCTAAATTAAATTTTTTGAATGACTTAAAAGAATTAATACTAAAGATACCTCTTGAAGAAAGAGTTTTTATTGGAGGAGATTTAAATGGACATGTTGGTAGAGAGGTAGATTTTAAAAGCATTCATGGTGGGGAATATATTAAAACTACATAAATCTTGAAGTAAATGCCCGACATTGGACTCTATAGGAGAGGAGGAAGGGGAGAGAGCAGTTCATCATAATGATGATTCAAATAAAGAACCCCTTAGTGATGACAGTGTTGATGACTTATGAGTTCTTATGTTATATGTCATTGCTATTTGTTTTTGGAAATTTGAATTATATGTTAATGAAAAGAATACTGAGATTTAGGAAAGATAGAATTTTGAGTTGAACTATACTTCATGTTATCATATTATTGGGATATTTTGATTTCACTTCATATCTTATGCTTTTTTATGTTTTATATTATTCACTCATTAGTATATAAAAAATTTATTATTTTATGTTTACGCAATTTTTTTATTTTGAGGTTTACGCCTCAAAATGCCTTGAGGCTTACGCCTCGCCTCACGAATGAAAAATACCTCAATACCCGAATATGCAATTTTAAACATTGTTCCGATGACCCGGTTAGGAGAGTAGAGGTATTAGATTTGACTTGTGTTAAGAAAGGTATGGGTAGACCTAAAAAGACTTGGTTAGAAAATATTAGGAATGACATTTCTTTATTAGATTTAAATGAGAATTTGACTTTTAATAGGACACAATGAAGAAAAAGGATTCATGTAGCCGACCCCACGTAGTGGGATAAAGGCTTGATGTTGTTGTTGTTGTATAAAAATGTTAACTAATTATTTTAATTATCAGAGAAACTAATAAATAGCATAACTGATAATTGAATCATTGATTATTATAATTAATCTACTCTTTATTAATTAAATTATGCTACAAGTACAATTTTTTGATAAACATCCTAATTAATTGAAGCAAGCATAAATAATAAATCTAACTTGCTAAAATTTTTTTGAGCTAATCTTAGCATATATTATTATCCAATCAGACGGCTTAAGTTCACATAGGTATTATTAAACTACTAGAGCTCTTAAGCTTCCCGCTTAGCTCATCTAAACAGACAGCAAAACAAGAAAGTTAAAGGATAGTGATTAATTAGATTCAACAAAGCATCACATGCAGAACGGAGTGACTAAAGTTCATCTGCATGAATTTAGATTACAAAGGTCTCCATAAGCAGAAGTTCTTAAAAATAGGAATAAAGAAACACGAATAAAGCAGAAAAAGGATGACAAATTTACCAGATATGGATGGTTTCTCTTCATAGAAATCCTTGTTGAATGCGTCATAATCAATCGCACTATGGTCCAACGCCGGGATAGGCTCAATCTTCCTCTTATCCACCACAATCGGGTTATCGTCCGAATCATATTCCAGCATCCCAGCATCCACAGCCTTGGCAGCAGCGTAAACTTCCTCATCCGAATTAAATCCAGCATTTAGAGCTTCTGCAGCTAGGGTTAGCCCCACATCCTTCTTTGCTCTCAAAAAACTCTCCACGGGATCATCCTCGTCGTCATCCAGGAACCTGTCATCCTTCTCCCTAGCCTTCCCAACAGAGGGAGGCGGTGGGGCCCGGATCTCTTCCTGGATCCCCTCCATGAAGGCGTCGAGTGGGTCAATCTCACCTTCGTAGTCTTCACCTCCACCGTTGGCACCATCACCGTCGTCTGTTCGGGGCTCGGCGCCATCGTAATCGATGTTGTCCAGGTCCTGGTCCTCATAGTTGTCGCCGCCACGGCGACGGGAAGAAGGCGGCACGTATAAGCGGGCTGGTGCCTGAGAACGCTCGAAGTTGTAAGTGGCCGGACGGTTGATGCCAAAGCCCTCGAAGCCGAACTTGCGCTTCGACATGTGCGACTTCTCTTGGAAATGAAATCAAAGAGTCACAACGACCTAGAAGAACAGGGGCAGAAACCCTAGCTAGAGTATGGGCTCTGCATTGGTTACCCGCTTCTCTTGATTTGGCACGGTCGAGCGGATGGGCGGTGTATAGCGATTCTTACGATTTTAGCGCTTATTTGGTTGGCAAATGTTTTTGAAATATTTTGATGTTATTTGAACAAGTGTTAAAAAATATAAATGATCATATTTTTATTTAATTTAAAAAAATTTATATAATATACAGTTTAAAAATGTGGTGATTGGTTGATGGAAGTGACCGTGGGAAGGGGTGGAATTAGTTTTGATACATCGTCAAAAAATTATCTTGATCGGGCACGAATCTAGATGCAGAATCAAGTTGGAAACTTCAAAAATTAATTCGGAGACCACGCAAATTCCGATTTCAGCAAACTTATAGTCGAACTGAGCGTCTCGGAAATACGAACCCAACGACACCAAATTCAACTCGATCCGAGTCCAAATGGGTTCGAATCATGGACCCGAAGCACTGTTGGAAGGTTCAAACCTCAATTTCAGATACCAAACGGTCTCCGATTTTAACGAACTTATACTCGAATTGAACGGCTCGACGAGACGAATCCAACGAACCCAAGATCTCCGAATTCTGACATCTCTAAAGCCTCCAAATGCTTGACAAACGGTCAATGATCAGGGGGTTCAATATCGGCCGTCCATCCAACCACTCCTCATTTACCCTTGATCTCTCACCTATTTATGGGGCATGCCACTCCAGAAATCTATAAATAGATCTCCCTCTCCTCTTGAAAGGAGGAGGGAAGCCTAAGGAAAAGAGAGAGAGATCGGAGATCGCTCTTGCTTCCTTGCCTCCTCGACCACCGTCAGACCACCGCCCGACGCCATTGCTCCGTCGGTCCACCACCTGAAGCCCTCACCTCCGTCGGACCACCGCTTGACGTCGTTGCTCTGCCGGACCACCACTTAAGGCCCTCACCTCCGCCGAACAACCACTTGAGCCCTCACCTCCGCCGGACCACCACCTGACGCCGTTGCTCCGCCGGACCACCACCTGACGTCGTTGCTCCGCCGGACCACCACTTGAGGCCCTCACCTCCGCCGGACCACTACTTGAGGCTCTCATCTCCGCCGAACCATCGTCTGACACTGTTTCTCCACCAGAAAACCACCTGAGACCCTCACCTCCGCCGGACCACCGCCTGACGTCGTTGCTCCGCCGGACCACCACTTGAGGCCCTCACCTCCGCCAGACCACCATCTGATGCCGTTGCTCCGCCAGACCACCACCTGAGGCCTGGCCTTTTCCCGGACCACCACTTAAGGCCCGGACTCCGCCCGACCTCCATCACAAAACAACAGTCTTTCTTATAGAGAAAGTTGTTATTTGCATGTTTTATATTCTTGCAACTTATATTATTTTGATGATTTCAAATATTATTGTTTTTATATATCTCCTAACATTTTTTGGAAGTTTTATTTTTGCTCTAGTGTGTACTAACATTTCAGGAAAATCAACTCCAAGCGATGAAGACTTCAAACTATTCATTTGTAAATCATAAGTTTTTATATGAAAGGGAGTGATCTTAATTGAGTGAAAAATCACAACACACACTCTTAGGGGATAATTTTTGTGAACTGATCGTACGGGACGAACCTGGTTCGTACGGGACAATCATGTCAATCAACCCCTTAGGAGAGCAATGGATTGAACGTGCAAGAAAAAAACTTTCTAATTCCTAATCGTCCATGAGGAATTTAATATTCATCCCGGGACGAACTTCTCGGGATTCTCTCTTGCACTGTTCGTCCAGACGAAAAATAAGGTTCATACCGGGATGAAACTCTCTATATGAGATCGTACATGACAAAATTAATTTTCGTCCCTGGACGAAACTCTCTGTTTAAAATCGTCCCAGGAAGAAACCTGTTCGTCCTAGGACGAACTGAACCGACTTACGTTAGTTGGTTACATCCTGTAGAATTTCTGGGAATCGACCTATGTAATAACCGTTTCGTACCGGACGAACATAGTTCGTACGGGATGATGAGCGTGTATGAACATAATTCGTACCAATATACATTAGGTTTGTTTCTAACACTTTAAGTAAAATCGTCCAGGACGATCCACGATCGTACGGGACGATCCACTGCGTACATAATTGAAAACTTGCAGTTTTTGGGCAATTTTTCTTGTCTTTTGTATACATATTTCAAATTAGACTGCCACCCAATCTTTTTTCCATTTGATCTTCGTGCCTATTGAAAGAAAAGTCAAGGAGAGAGTGTGAGAGAGCATTCAAAGGATGATTCCTACCACTGGAGCGTGAAGGCTTCACTTGGTGTTTAAAGGTAAGAATCTCTACTTGTGATTTAGGATTACTTCACTCTTTTCTTTCTTCCTTCTAGATTTCTTGTGAGAAGATCTGTCAAAGAGATTCAGTTCTCTGCCAACACTAGGAGAGTGTAAAAGGACGAAGGGTTCTTTGCCCACACTAAGAGAGTGTAAAAGGACGAAGGGTTCTCTGCCCACACTAGGAGAGTGTGAAAGGATGAATGGTTCTCTGCCCACACTAGGAGAGTGTGAAAGGATGAAGGGTTCTCTGCCCTCACTAGGAGAGTGTAAAAGGACGACGGTTCTCTGCCAACACTAAAGAAAGTGTAAAAGGACGAAGATTCTCTACCGCACCGGGTAGTGGTGAAAAGAGTGATTGTAAAGGCTTCTCCGCCTTGCTGTGGGTGCAAAAGGAGAGACACTATTGGTATTAATGCAATACTCAGATGGTGCCTCTGGGGAGTGGATGTAGGTCTGGTTTAGACCGAACCACTATAAATCGTGTGTTCTTTTATTTTACTGTTTTTTATTTTCCGCATTTAATTTCGTGTTTTAAAAATTGTGGTTGAAAAACTTTTTATAAAAACTCACTAAATTTCAATTTCGGTTAAACTTATCAAAAGAGGGAAAATTTTTAAATACCAATTCACCCCCCCCCCTCTTGGTAGCTTTGGGACATTAATTTAGGTCTAAGAACCTATTACTAGACTCAACATTTCTGATCACAGTCTCCTAACGATTATGGTCCTCCCGACCTCCGTCGCCTACTACGGTCACTCCGACCTCCATCACAGGACAACGGTCTTTCTGACCCCATTATCCTGCCGATTACGGTCCTCCCGACCTCCGTCGCCTATTACGGTCACTCCGACCTCTATCATAGAACAACGATCTTTCTGACCCCAGTCTCCTGCCGATTACGATCCTCCCGACCTCCGTCGCCTATTACGGTCACTTCGACCTCCATCATAGAACAACGGTCTTTCTGACCCCAGTCATCTACCGACTACGGTCCTCCCGACCTCCGTCGCCTATTACAGTCACTCCGACCTCCATCTTAAAACAACGGTCTTTCTTATCCCAGTCACCTGCCGATTATGGTCCTCCCGACCTCCGTCGCCTTTTACGGTCACTCCAACCTCCATCACAAGACAACGACCTATCAGACCCCGGTCTCCTGCTGACTACGGTCCTTCTGACCTCTGTCTCTTGCCAACAATGGCCCCTCCAACCAAACAAATATGTCTATGTTGATTATTGTAACTCCCACAATGTAATATGTTCTATATAACGTACATTTGTAACATCAAGCTAAGGCCTTCTCCCTAAGAAGGGCCTCATTTGTAATCGACTGCAAATACTAGTGGATTCATTCAAACTGGGCCAGGCCCCGTGGTTTTTCCCCCTTTTCAGGGGTTTTCCACATAAAAACTCTGGTGTCTCTTATGAACGCTACACCCTCTCACTTTTTTGATTGTGTGCTGGATCTTCGTACAATGCTAAGATGTTAAACTATATATTATTCTACCGCCACGAATATTCCAGGACGCAACAGTTTGGCGTCGTCCGTGGGAAAGTGATTCCCGACTGGGGGAAAAATTTTGCTCCAACCTCAAAAGATCATAATGTCAACTTCCTGACTTCAGCCATTGCTTCATCAATTTTATGGAAATTAGATCTGGACTGAGGGGCAACTTTGACTCCAACTATGATTAAGAAGATCCCTCTAATGCTTTCAATATCAATATGATACTTCAAGGAACTCCCAGCAATTGCAAGGATACTTCTGAAAGCCATATACAGTCCCTTGCTGTACTTCTACTCCTTAGGCAATGTCTTAATCTCGACCTCAAAAAGGCAATAACGGTCTAAAGATAGACCATTATTTAACATTGATTCGGAATACATGCGGCATTCGCACCCTCCCAAATCAAGACAAAATCGATCCCAGGGGGATCCGATTCGACCTCTTCCATAAAGTTTAACGTCATCGAGCAAAGGCTCCGACATACAACCTCGGAAGGTCTTACATCCTTGGTGGATTCTCTCAACATCTTCAACACATGTTAACGTCGTCGAGCAAAGGCTCCGACATATAACCTCGGAAAAGTCTTACATCCTTGTTGGATTCTCCCGACCTCTTCCACACAGGTTAACGCATCGAGCAAAGGCTCCGACATACAACCTTGGAAAGGTCTTACATCCTTGGTAGATTCTCTCGACCTATTCCACACAGGTTATCGTCGTTAAGCAAAGGCTCCTGTATAAAAACCTCGGATAGGTCCTACATCCTTGGTGGATTCTCTCGACCTCTTCCACACAGGTTAACGTCGTCGAGCAAAGGCTCCGACATAAAACCTCGGATAGGTCCTACATCCTTGGTGGATTCTCTTGACCTCTTCCACACAGGTTAATGTCGTCGAGCAAAGGCTCCGACATATAATCTCGGATAGGTCCTACATCCTTGGTGGATTCTCTTAACCTCTTCCACACAGGTTAACGTCGTCGAGCAAAGGCTCCGACATACAACCTCAGATAGGTCCTACATCATTGGTGGATTCTCTCAACCTCTTCCACACAGGTTAACGTCGTCGAGCAAATGCTCTGACATACAACCTCGGATAGGTCCTATATCCTTGGTAGATTCTCTCGACCTCTTCCATATAGGTTAACATCATCGAGCAAAGGCTCCGACATACAACCTCGGATAGGTCCTACATCCTTGGTAGATTCTCTCGATCTCTTCCACACAGGTTAACATCGTCGAGCAAAGGCTCTGACATACAGCCTCT